GCACTTCCCGACGCTGCTTGTAGCGCGTCCACCATAGACTTTGTATGCAAACCTGATGCTCCTGAGGCTGAAATCGCGTTTGGTGTGAACGCACCAGTACAAATACGAAAATACTTCATCTTTGAACACATCAGCATCGAATTATTATCGGTAGCAGAACTTTGAAACGATTGTCCAAACGAAAAAAAGTTTCACCAGTAATGTTAACTAGTTTGTCAAGATGTTGAACAATCAAATGTGCAGCTAGAGCAGTGGAATCCCAAACAAGTAAGCACAAATATGACTTGATATCAAGGGTGTCAAATAAATGAATGAAAGGCTTGCCATACCTGAGCTCCCTGTCTTTGTCCTGCAACTGTCTGCGGAGACATGCTGTGACTCCTCCTGTCTCATGAGCACACTTCACACTGCTCACCTCCTCAATGGGCTCCTGGAACAAATGTCATGAGAAAATTTAAATGACTGGACGAGTCGTGTTGTGTGATTTGTCACAAAATGAGCTCAAATGTGTTGGAGCTCAAACCTGTATGAGACGTGTCCTTAAAGAATCCAAAGCTTGATCTTTTTCTGCTCTCAGCTGTTGTCTTTGGATGCTCAAGGCTTGTTCCTAAAAACAAATCTAATGAACTTACTTAATGTGTGTTTATTGCTACATTTAATAGGCTGTGAGCAAATTTTCACCTTCTCCTTCTTCAGCTGCCCATTAGTGTGTTTCTGTGACTCCAGCTTCAGTTGAAGATGACCGATGAAGAGCTTCAGCTCACGCTTTGTTCTCAGCTGTAGAAGAGCTTCRGCAAGAGTAAAACTGCACAATGACATCAAACATCAAACTATGAGCTCAGATCTTAACCAGATATTTGTTGGATTTAAAGCCAGGAATTAAACAAGCCTCTGATGGATCTCCTCAGCTCCTTGTTGAGCTCCATCTCGCTCCACTAAGAGGTGCAGCTGTTGGCACTCTGCTGTCAGCTGCTGGGCCCAGAATCTGAGCTGCTGCTCCRTCTCTGTCTCCAGCTCAACGTCCTGCGGGAGCCGCAAAACGGTTTCCCCTCTCTGCTGGGATCACACACACCACAGCAAGGTCAGCTTTTCCACTGTGTCTCATTCTGGTGCGACTCGACAACTCTTGCACTTTTTAATAACAAAATAAATATACAAATAAACAGAATGCAAAATGTCCAAATCAGTGAATCCCTGCTGTCAAGGGTTTGATCTAATATGCAGCCCGCCTTTCATTTACATGTAGTGCAGATTACCAGGGTTTGTTCTAATAGAGGGTGCAGAGGAAATGTAAAATCCTTTGATATTTTTAATTAATTTGATGACAGGAAGTGTTACCTCAGTCTGTTCATTTCTGTGAATCTGGTTTTCCAGAGCGGCACATCTGTTTCTCAGTGAGCGTTCAGCCTCTGTGGCCCTGAGGAGCTCCTCACACGTCTCCTCCAACTTCTGCTCAATAAATAAATAAATAAATAAATAAATAAATAAATAAACATAAAAAATTGCAATTCCATAACGATGAAACAAACATGATGTCTATAAAGTAAATCAAAGAGTAATGTGGGTGAAAACAGGAAATGTCTGTTCTGGAGTTTGCATGAAGTGATTAGGTTCTTTAACTTTCTTTGTTGTTGTTTATAATAGAATAAATCTGCATTAGTACTTTACCTCTTGAAGTAATTCAATCTTCTCTCTTGCTTGTCGCTGCTCAGTAAATAATTCAGTTTTGGTCCAGTTCAGCTGTCGCTCCATCTCCTCACACTCCAGCTGTGACAACATGGCTTTGCTCTGTTTGTGTTGCAGTGGAAGATAAAAAGTGTAACATATGACATAAAAAAAACAGAATTATATTTGGTTTAAACTGGTCTTAATACTGTGTTCATGCAGGATCTGTCCTTTAGAGTCTGGTTATGATGATGCAGAGCTGCTAAATGTTCTTCATCCTTTTGGACCAGAAGAAGACGAGAGTCTCTTTGCCTTTGCAGCTGCTGGAGCTGGAAGCTACAACAACAACAAAAACAACTTGACTACTTTTGATAGAGCAGGAGTTTGCATTAATAAAAAATAATAATAAAACATGCACACTAAGATGATATTTTGTACCTAACAGACTGTTTCTCTGCTCTCATGTCTCTCAGAACCGACTCCAAAGTCCTCTTCTTCTGCTCCATCTGTGCTGTGTCTGCACTGAGCTGCTGTAARTGCTGCAAGGCATGCTGGGACATCAATAAACTCAATATTAGTCAACTTAACTTACTTAACTGTAAGRAAGCTTTACCTTCGTTCTCTGCTGGAGCTTCAGCTGTAGTTTCTTTTCCTCTTTTTCATATTTCTGAACCAAACAAACAAGCAAAGCATTCTGGTTGTTGCAGGATTAAACTAAAGAAACAGCATCTTGTGTGAAAAGGCCATGTGAATCACTTTATATCTGAACTGGGTTAAAGGAACTGAGACTGAGTTATTAAAGCTAAAACAAGCCGATCAGAAAYGAGCAAATTGCTAGCTAAAATTAGTGAAACACTAGCTAAAAGTAGTAAAAGGCTAGACAAAGCAAAAAGTAGCTAAAACCTAAATGTAAGTAGCTAAAACGCTAGATTGGTTACTGTAGGCTAAGTAGCAGAATGCTATCCAAAAGTTAAATAGCTAAAAGATAGCTAATATGAGATTAGTTTAAAGTTGWTTTAGGCAAAGGCTATAGCTACAGGCTAGAAGTAGCAGAATGGAGCTAGGACCTAAATCTTGGGCTAGCTAAAAGAAGCAAAAGTTTAGCTGAAAGGTAAAGCAGAACAGCAGCACAAAGGTCTGCAGATGTTAGTTAGATTGAAGAGGAGAAAAATAGTTTGTATAATGTTTGTGTGTGTGAGATAGATAGATAGATAGATAGATAGATAGATAGATAGATAGATAGATA